ACAAAGAAGTATGTCAGTATGTTAAATGACAAATCTTTTCCCATTTTCAAAAACTGTTTCAGCACTAGTCAAAGTTTCAAGTCCTCAGATATTTTATGCTTCTCAATTCATCTATTCCTCTTCAGTATTCACACATATATTTCCAGCCAGGACAGGTGCACAGTTCTGCCATGTATCACTCCACTCAGTCAAAATATTCAACATTTGGCGATAAGCCAAAGAGACAACTTTTCTTTTTCTTTTTCTTTTTTTTTTCTTTTGAGGGAAGTCCATAGTTGCCTTTTGAGAGAGAATAGGAATGAAAGGGGAATCCCAGAAATTCCCCTCCCATTAGCTCTGTGCTTGAAATATTATTAACACTTTCATTTTCTCACTCCTACTTTCACCATTTGAATCTGGGTCATAACAGCATGCCTACCCTTCAGTACCCTGAGTGGGTGGTTGTTTTGGCTGGAACTAAGGCATACTTGCTTTGTGACACAGAGTGCCCTTATGGTGACACATACTTGTCCTTTTCAGCTAGTCTTTTTTTAAAAAATCATCTTGTTTATTATAAAAAGAGACTAGAGAATAGAATTCGTGTTATTCAGTATTCACATTGTTTTAGCAATGTGTGAAATGAAAACCTATACTTTAGTCTGTTCTTTTCACAAAACTGGATTATTCCCTGCAGCATCTTTTCCCTGACCAAATGCCTTTTCCTTAGGAAAATACTTTGCTACATGCTCTAATCTCAAATACTACAGCACATGACTGAAGTCTCAGGTTCAGTCTCTAGTACTCAATTCTTAGGATCCAAAATGAAGGATCTGCAGAGCTAGAATTAAATTGCAGTAGATGTTAAATTCACTTAGTGCCAGGCTGCTTATATAAAGAGATTGTCAGACCTATAAGAATTCTTTCATGAAAAAACAAGAGGGACCTAAAGAGATACGTGAAAGAAGCCCAATCTTCAAATTTCCCTGCTAGCCAAAAAACAAAATCAAGAGCTGGTACATAAAAGGCTTAAATGATGTGCAGCAGAATGGGAGTGACACCTGTAGATTTATGCCTTTCCAAGCAAGTGAGGTCTCCTATTGACTCTGCATATGGACTCTGCAACACTTCTTTCTATCCTGTCTGAGGGGTGGAAAGACTCTGTGAGCAAATAATTCTGGACTTCTACAAAAGCTGCAGAGAGGTGAGATACTATTTTTCTGAACTAAAACATCTACCATTCTGAGTGTGATTCCAATGAAGATAAAGAAGAGAGACTGTTTAGCATGGTTTGTTTTTCCCAGTTATTAAATGATCATTAAATACTTGGCAATTATTCTAAACAGCTGCTATTTAAAAAGTTCTATAAAATTCATAACAACAACCTGTTCAAAGTAGTTCACACCTATTTGTTTTTAGCTGACATACTGAGTAGACATAAATTACTTGTGTAGTTATACACAGTATTAAAACAATCCTAAAATTATACAAATATATGTATACTGTTTGCTTTTACTATTTCTGCCACAAAACAAATGCAGGATTTGCAACCTGGGTAATTTGCAAGAATTTGCAAGCTGTAGAGAGAAATAATGCAGTGTTAGTTTTATAATTTAGTGTACAGGACACATTTGTGCTAAAGCTCTGTAAACTGGGCCCGTGGTCAAAAGGAGCAATTAGCACTTTGTTAGTATGCAATGATGTACTAATCTACACAGTCCCCAAAAGCAATTGTCTATTCCTTTTGCCCTCATGTACAAATTTTCTACAGTATGTACTACTCTGCCCCTAAAATAGCCCATTACAGCACAGCTGCTGTAAAATAAAAAAGGTTTCCTGTGATTACAATCTATGTATCAATTAGAATTTGTTTATTGGAATAAAAACCATATTGTTCCATTAACCCCTTTTTCTGTGCTGAGGTAGCTGCATAGTTCTCTGAAAGTGTCAAACAGCTGTAACTGTTCTTCTAAAGAGCAAAAGGGGGTCAAATTTAGGTGACAGAATATTTCCACCTGAACCCCCTCTAAAGGTTTCTCCTAACTAAAATAAACGGTTGCAAGCCGTGATCTCCAGAAAAAGAAGCCAGGCGCTAAAAGTGGATGGATGGTAAAAATCAAGAGAAAGTATCGATAACCCTGACAACTGTGAGAGGACTAAACCCTAATATTCTGTGAGTGTTCCACATCCCCCTCTTGTGGCTGCTATGTAAAGGATGTGAATCACGAGTACCACTTAAATTAACATTCAATATAGACAGCCTTTGTCATAGTCACCAGAGATGGTCCACAGTGAGGGCTACAAAAATCAAGGAGGAAAACAAGGCAGCACACTGCCAGAAATCTGAGTGTTAGAGCCTTGTTGTTAGAGGCTAGTTTCAAAGGCTATTTTCCAAAAATCAGGCTCATTATAAGCTATCTCAGCTGTGGCACCCACCAGCCAAAACACCTTCAGCCACTAAACATTTTGGAAAATCATGGCAGTGCAATATGTGCCTACTCACTAAGGGGATACAGGCACCCTCTCCTCCCTATTTCAGTTGCCTAGAAGCAAGTTAATACTGCAGTTTCATATTTACCCAGCAAAACTCACAAAGTATCTACCACAGGGTTACAGTTTCTAAAAAGGGTATGAACACTGAGACATTAGCTGCCTCAGACTAATATTGAAATTTAATCCTCATGTCAAAGGAGAAAATAAAAAAGAAAGGTCTGTGAACTGACAGCACAATCAGTAACATATCAGAATGAACATTCATGGGGACCTCTAAATAAAAAGATATCATTCAGAGTCACTGCCACATAGCTGTCTTTGATATTATGCATGAAAAGCTCTTTGGCTCTTCAGACTATGAGAACAATGGGCACACCCTGGGATTTGACAGGAGGAAGGGAAGAACAGTGAAAACAGGTTTATGTATAAATAAATATCATTACCTAAACTCCTTGCAACACTGCATAAACTAATATATTCCTTCTAACCTTCAGAAAGAAATAAATTAGAGATTATGTTGGGATGAGACTACTTAGATCAATTTTAACATATAGAACACCCTAACATTACAAAATTTATTAATGGATGTTAAATGCTGTTACACAGCAAAATAGTTCTACTAAGGTCATATCAACTACTTGTCCACCTCATTCAATTCCTTTTGCAAGCAGCAGTACCTGATTCATTTGATTTCCTCCATCTGTCTTTCTGTTTTCCCAGTTCAGCACTCCAGGACACCACCTTTTGCAAAGAATGCTTTAAATTTGCTCTGGAAAGAAAATATAGCAGCTTGGATATTATCCAGCAGGGCTAGGCATAAAGATTTCTTTGCTTGTTTGTTCCCAAGCTGCAGAAAGCTATCTGAAATATTTGTAACAGTACTGAATTAGTTTTCAGTTGCTTCATTTAGCTTTGTCAATGAGTTTTGTAACAGAGCAGTGGTAGGTGAGGAGTAGATAATATGTTAACAAGAAGGCTGTTCCTGTCTCTACTTAGTGTCAGCACCTGCCATTTGGGATTCTCTCCAAAATTTGTGTTCCATTTGTGAGAATACTGAAAAACAATGAAGAGACTTACTGAGAATTCTAGTTCTGCTTGTCTACACTTACTTGGCAAATTAATAAAGAAAAAGAAATGAACATACGGAACTGTAAGTTTTGAGATATGCTATCCACAGTAGACGGCAATAACATTCTGCCAGATTCAGCATTTGAACATATTGTTTAATATTCATGCAGCAAAAGTTAAACTGATTATGTTCCAAAAATATTTTTTTTTAGATTTGACTTTGCTGAAAATAGTGAATTGCTCATCTGCTTAATAAGTTTTTATTTAAATAAAATAACATGTTTTAATATATGTTGCTATCACGCTGTTTTAAATATTGGAAATGATTAACACTGGGAGAGTATTAAAAATTTAAACTGTTTCACCATCTGTTCTGTTTGTTTATTTTTCACATTTCATTCAACTTGGAAAGTGAAAATAGATTATTTTTTTTCTCTTTTACTCTTCTGTATTAGCATGACAATTCAGTGTCTCTGCAGCAAACTTTGTAAGGGTATATTTATCTCCAGACTGTCAAATAAAAAAATGCTTTTCTCACACAGTTATAAATAAATAAATAAATTCCCAAACACAAATAATTTTATTTAATTAAAACAATTACATGATTGGCCCATTGTTTCAGATTTTTTTGTTCATAACTTTTGCCAATATACTACAGGCAAGCCTGGGTTTGCACAGCTGGTGTATATCTGATGTACTTGACAAAAGCCTTTTGCAAAAAGTTTGTCAGCTAACCAGGACAAAAGATGCCTGAAGAGTGATGATAAGGTCTTGTCATCGTCAAAGTGCTCCATGTTGCTTTCATGTGATGAACAGAAGACCAGTGTGAATTTTTTTATAGGCCCACCTTAATGCCCGGCCCACTTGATTGTTGTAATTTAAAAGGACTAAATTCTTTAGCTGCAAAATCACTGAAGATGGAAATGAGCTTCAAGGTTCAGATTGACTGCAGAGAAGAGTGGTTTCAGCTCTGATACTCTGTTACAATTTTACTTTTCAGCTGGAATATCTCAGAGGCATTCTTCTTCCATATTACAATGAAGAAAAATCTGAAAAACTGAATCCTGAATTGATGTTCTGGCTCACAAAGAGAGATCATGTCCCAAGGCCATTTAATCCCTCAGAATCTGACAGGAGCAACTCCCCACTGAATCACTTGAATTATAGTATGAAAACCAAAAATAAATCTGTTTTGATTAGCAGCAACAAACACTTTCTTTGTTCCATGTTCTCAGGCACAATGGCTAGAGATCAATGTCATCTCTAAGCTGGAGCAGATTCCACACATTCCTCATGAAATACTTCAGAATCATGCCACAATCATTCCACATTTATTGATTCAAAGTCTGGATTCAGTAGCAAAGATCTAAGCCTGAGATCTTTGTTTTCTTTCTCAAAGTAAAACAAAATAAAACCAATTTCATACAATGTGAAACTTCAGATTGTTACCGTTCTCTACTTACCTCTTGGTTACGCTTCTCCTGGACAATTTCCAGCAGCCATTCCTGTAATTCACTCATTAGCTGCAGTGTTCTGAATTTCAACTGAACTTTTTGAGGCTATAGTAAAAGAGACGGAAAAAAGAGTGAAGTTAAGGTTCAAATCTCTTCTAACTGAATAATTTTTTTCTTGTCAATTTACTTTGTGTGGATCACACAGTGATCAGAGCAAGAAAAACACCACTCCACCCATGCTCACTCCAGTTACAGCACAGTGAATCAGGATAAAAAGAAAGACTAAGGAATTTTTAAGAAAGGATAAAAACCTGTGATTTAGAAGGAATATTTGAAAACCTTAAAAAATACCAGCTTTGAACGTGATATAGAAATGAAGAACTGGTGTAAACAAATTAGACTTGCCCTACATATGAACATGAACACATAGATTTGCTTTATCTTTTCATTTGCCCTCCAATTTTTATAAGAATTCTCTTGCATCCTAATTGCCAGGGGTTTGAAAGGTCTGACACATTCATGGTAGTCAGTTCCACTAATAGTCCTCCACTCTTCTTTTTCAAGTAAAAAAATCACACTTTTCAGAGACATAATTTTCTTATTCATTTTCTCAGGAGGGGATTAAAATGTTAAGTCCTTTATTCCTTAGCTTTGATGAGTCTGGAATGGATTGTGAATATGATATTGCAAATTGGCAGAAAGAGGTTATTTTGTCTGAATTTTTGAATCAGCCTCTCTCAAAGAGTCTAATCAAACCTGTCACTCTTATGAAGACTGACGTGGCCAACAAGTGTGCTGCTGAAATGCAACCTGCCAGACTTAGCAACTTCTGCCACAAACACAGTTGAAAACCTGGATTTTCTATTGATCCCAGCTTGGTTTTGCTATAAGGTGACTTCTGTAGCTAGACCTTGTCGATATTTCTGTCAGAAAGGTTACTGCATGTGTTGTTCATGTTCAATTTACAAAATGTTGAAGTGACAATGATGGGGCTATTTGAACATTTATTGTTGAACAGTGAGAAACAACATATTTGCTGATGTCAAGGAAGAGTCCATATGTGTTCAGACACCAGCAGGTGCAGAAGTAATTTTTCTATCCTTCCAAAAGCCCTTGGAAAACTCTTTTTCATTTGTAGCTCAAAAGAGACTTAGGCTCAAAAATAGATGGTCAAATACTCTCTTATTCAGAACTAAGGTGTGCTTTACCACAATTCATACTACAAAATGAGTGATTTTCATTTTCTTTCTCTCCATGGGTATGGCTTGCAAACATCTATTCCCTTGTTCCCTCTCTCCTCTCTGTGAATGTTGCACTTTTCCTGCTGCATTCAGCAGCATAGCTTACACTCAGATCACAGCTGGTCATTTCAGGGCACTGGGAAGTTTCTGAATCCTCCAGCCAAAACTAATAGTCAGATTTTTAAACAAAATATGAGAATTAGGCAAGCAGGGGTTACTGAGTTTAGGGGGGATGAACAGCTAACTCACTTCACCTCCAGCAGTAATCCAAGACTGGAATTTGGAAATTTTTTCTCAGTCAGGATCCAGTAGGGAGTTTTGTCCGAATAGGGATGTCAGAACTATATCTTTACAATATCATCCTTTACTAAATCTGAATGGTATCAGTCCTGTTCCAGGGGCTTTGCTACATTACATTTCTTTAATGTAAGTAAGCAAGCAAGAACAAAGGAATCTATATAAAGTGGACAGAATAAGTTAAAAAATAACTATCTCAGCAAGTAACTGTGGGTATAATAAGGTTATAATAATATTATTAAATACCTAAATGTTTCCTAATCAATCCAGTCAAGTACCTATTAAAAAAAATGAAAAAGAAAAAAAGAATTTTTTTTTCTTTTCTTTTCTCCTCAGCTATGGTGGTGCAGCACCTGCCATTAGCTGTGGTGGTTCCTATTTTCATATTGTCTGACAGTAGCAGTTGGACTGAGCCAGAGCCAGTGAGGCCGAGAGGCAGACTCCCTGCTTCCACAAAGCTGAATTTAATAAGATGAGAACAGTATGCCAAGATGGTGAACTCCCTCCCTAGCACTTATCATGACACTAGTCACTCAGCAGGGCCCTTATTGCAGCAGTAATCTGGGTGAGCCTGGCAGAGCATCCTGCTTACAAGTTCAATATAATAGAACAGCAGGGCACTGGAGGCCTGGCAGAAAAGCTTAGCAAAGTTAAAGCCTATTACACTATGCTTGAAAAAAATGGCTCTCAAAATATTATATGCCTAGCAAAAATCTGGACATTCCAAATGCAGTGACATAGTAAGTCCCCTCTATAATGGTGCATTCATTAGTCTATAGACACAAGCAACATGGATTTAAAAGTCCATAACGTAAATGGAAATGGATATGCAAATTCATCCTTTCCTTCTGCTTGGTTTGAATTTAATAGGCAGGACTAGAGTATAATATATAGATAGCAAAAACAAATCTGCTCTGAGCTGTTTAAAGTTGCTGAAGTTAGAAAATCCCTGCTTTGCATTTTATCTCCTTTATATTTTCATAAATAACAAAAATAATTTGGAAGTAATTACCCATCTCACTTGTATATACTGGGATGTGAACACGAAATCTCAACCTGTACGAGACCTGTGGCAAGGAAAATGTATCAGACATATCTTTAATGTAGCAGCATGTGACCACATGCCCAATAGCATTTAAATTAAAGAAGAATGAACATTTTAGTGTGAGCTGCTCACAGTAGTATCATAAATCAGACTATATTTTTCACTGGATTATTACTTATAGGATTGAACATTTTACTCCTCTTTCTATTTTTAGCCTCAGTGTTGTCTGAGTAGTTAGTGTACAGACTTGAAATTAATCAGGAATGTCCTGATATTACCCTGAAAGATGTTCCTTAATTTGAACAGCATTTTGAAAAGCGAATTGTTCTTGTTGGGAATTGCCAGAAAAGTCTTTCCATCTGGTCAAAAGACCATAATGAAAATCTTCCCTGAAATGAATTATAAAATGATAAAACAGATAAAAAGAAATGGAAAAAGAAGAGGAAGGCATATATTCCTCTGCATAAACTTCACTTGTGAGAAAATAAGTGTGTAGTCTGGCTATTTTTCAAAGTCAATCAGACATTTTGCCTCAGACCTTTTGCCTGAACACAATCCTTAAAGCCATATGACATGCCTTTGGGTTTCCCCTATACTGTATATTCACCAGAAGAGCACCAGAAGAGCTAGTGTCTCCTGTGGTTTCTGCACCATATACATGTACATATATCCTATATACAACATACATGTTTTTCCAGCTGGAAGGAACCTCAAGAGGTCTTCAGTGCAACACCCTACTCAAAAAAGGATCACCATAGCATTCAGAAGATGTTGCTCTGGACTTTGTCCAGCTAGGGTCGTCAAAATCTCCAAGGATAAAGATTCCATAATTTCTTTGGGCCCCTCTTTCCATGCTCACTTTTTCTCACAGTGGAACAATCTTTCCTTACTTACCTTTTCTATTTCAATTTATAGTTCTCATTCACCCACCGTGCTTCTTAGCAAAGAAATTGTGTTTGCCTTCTTACAAACTAGCTCTTAGATATCAGAAAGCTGCTACTAGATGCCCCACACTTTCCCTAAAAAATCTTGCTCTCTAAAAAAGCACAGTCCCTTCAGGTTCTCCTGACAAGATGTGCTGCAGCCTCCTCACCGTCTTGGTAGCTCTCTGCTAGACTTGCTGACATTTACCAGTATCTTCCTTGTACTGGAGAGCTCAAAACTGAAGGCAGCCTCAAAAAGTGGCAGAGGGAAAATATCACGCTTTGATCTAGTGGCTATACTCCTGTTGAAATTTCCCAATGCACTTAGACTACCACCCACCAGGACCCTCAGTTCCTTTTCAGAGTCTTTCAATGCTAGTGTGCCAATCTGTATGAAGAAGGATTAGTGATCTGATGACATTCTTGAGTTGCTTAAAGAAAACTTTATCTATTTCCAATATTGACTACACGATTTGTAACAGATTCCCACTACAGTGTTTCTTTTACCATCCTCTCCTTTGATCATGGCTCACAAGTCCCCAATCACTCTACCAACTGTTCCACAACAGAGCTCAATACATCCAGGTTGCTTCCTTGCATAGACAGCACCCCTCTTCCTTGTCCTTGCTGCCTGTTGTTCCTAAAGAACTTGTGTTCCTTACAATGCAGAGATCCTGCCACATCTCAGTTATTCTTATGTCTCTCCTAGGATCATGGCTCACAAGTCCCCAATCACCCTACCAACTGTTCCACAACAGAGCTCAATACATCCAGGTTGCTTCCTTGCATAGACAGCACCCCTCTTCCTTGTCCTTGCTGCCTGTTGTTCCTAAAGAACTTGTGTGTTCCTTACAATGCAGACATCCTGCCACATCTCAGTTATTCTTATGCTGCCTCAATTCTGCACCTGCACACAGAGATCCACCTCCTCCTCCTCTTTGCTTCCCAGACTGTGTGCATTTGTGCACAAACACTTGAGGCAAACCTTCTTTTAACCTGTCTTATCTTTCCTGAGGGCTCTCTTGCTCCTGTCATCCTGTCCCATGTATTTACTGCCTGGACTGCTCTTCCCTCACTTATCTGCAAGCTGTTATCACCATCCCCTGATGTACCTGGTTTAAAGCCTGTTGGCAAAGATCATATGTGTGGATATTTTGGATACTCTAGGGCACCTCAAATGGAAAGTACTTGTGTTTAGACAGTTGAATCCTGCCTTTAGTGTCTGAGTCCAAGACTTACAACTGCTTCTGTCTGGTCATGTCTATTTCTCATCTCATCCTTCCACTCTGTACCATTTCATTGACAATTTAAACAGAACAGAGAAAGAATATTTTAGATGCAGATTTTAGGACTGTTTTTGAGAAAAGGCCTTCCTGTGTGAAAAAAATTTACTTCTTTTAATCCCCCAACAGATTCTAGCTAAGAAGGACTCAAACTTCAGTGCAAACATAGCAAAACCAGCTAAAATATTCCTACCTTAGCACGAGGTTGAACAATATTTGTCAGATGTAATAAACACAGGAGGTAGCACAATTTTAGGTAACACACAGCCTGTAGTCAAGGTACCCGAGTGCACTAATAGCCAAAATAGCCTTGGGCTGCCTCAATTGGAATCTCCACATACACCCACAAGTCCAGACGATCTACTTAAGCTGAGCCCTGAGTGTTTGCTTCTTTCTTAAGCTTCTCTGGAGGAGTGCTGGTTTTCAGCTCAGCTGACACTGTGCTCCTGCCTTCCCAGCTTGAATCTTCAATGCATCCAGCTGACCCCATGAACTGCCTTCCCCTTGTGAACCTGTGTGTGCCCAGCAATTGCTGCACCTGACTCTGACCTGCAGATTGACTTCCTGGCTTGACCTCAGACCTGCTTCATCACCATGAACTTGCCTGGTGATTGCAACTTTTGGTTGTGCCTGGCTACTACCTCTGGGCCAGCCCTACTCAGGGTGGCCCCTGGCTGAGAAGACCCCTGCCCTGCTGATCCCTGGCTCCATTCCCTTTTGGGGCCCTCTGGCCCTTGCTGACCCCTGATGAAAACTGTAAATAAGGTTAATGCATGGTACTGAGAGCTAAGCATTACTGTGAAAACAGCAAAGGCAGCACCTGGAATTTTACTGCAAACTAGAAGCTTTCAAAAACATCACTTGTTTCCTTTTTAAGTTTTCCCCTACAGTTCTAGGCTGCTGGCTAACTTTAATATGTATTGGTCTATTACCTTTCAAAGCCTCTACTTAAGTACTCATTTTCTTGCCTCAGACCCTCTCTGCAGTAGCTTGTTACATTCTGTCATGTTGTTATGGTAAGTGACAGTCTCCTAATTGAAGCACTTTAATTTAGTATTGGCAGACTTGACTGTTTTCCACTTGGAAAGGGATGCTTTGTGGATTTTGTGGGAAATGTTAATAGTTCACTTAACCCAGAAAGGACATTTTGTAAAGTAAATTACAACCCATCAGTATTCTTTAGATATGTGACACTTCTGTGTAGGCAACACAGAACTGAGAGAAATTTGATTTTTGTTGTATCCTGTCCCCACAGCAAACACAGTGGGTACCTGGAGATATTGATGGTGTCTTATGACCCCTGCACACTGTAAAGACCAATCATACCTGTAGTTCATCTGAAAGGATTCCAAGTTTAGCATAAAGTTAAAAAAAATACAATCAGTTTATAAAATGAACAATCTTAACTCTGCCCTGGAGTATGTTTTGGGATAGCCATTAAATGATTGGATATCTCTAGCTGTAAATTACATGGAATTTATTTGTAAACACATTGGCATTGGGAATTTGGGTTACCTTTTTTTCTGTTGTCATTTTGAAATATACAAACTTTTGTTCCTCACTAGTAAGTGAGCTTTTATTAACTGATAATCCACATTAGCAAAAAACTCCTGGCTAAGGTTAGACAACTTCATGCAAGTAAGCCTAAGAGCCTTAGAGAAGGGCAGTGTCCCAGAACAGTTTTCAGGGCCTGTGGGCATGACTCACATGCAGGGAAGCAGCTAAGCCTTTCATTTCAACAGAACCTCAGTGAAAAGGCACTGTAAGAAGCCTTTGCTTTGCTTTGCTTTGCTTTGCTTTGTGCGAAAGCCTCTGGCAGGGCAGTGTCCCAGAACAGTTTTCAGGGCCTGTGGGCATGACTCACATGCAGGGAAGCAGCTAAGCCTTTCATTTCAACAGAACCTCAGTGAAAAGGCACTGTAAGAAGCCTTTGCTTTGCTTTGCTTTGTGGGAAAGCCTCTGGCGTTAGAAAGCCAGGATACCACTGATGTCCTCCTGTGCATATCCAACATTCTGAGCAAGAAGAATACATACAGAGCCCTGCCAAATCATACCATAGAAGAATTTTTTTATTCTGTTAAGTCTCATTTTGGGCAAGTGGTTTTAGTTTTGTAACTTATCATCCAACAATGAAACATTCCAAGGCAAATTATATGTTCTGGACAGTGTTAAATGCTCTTGGTAGATTTTGGATTATATTGTTAATATTAGGTTGGTAGTGTCATATGAAGGATAGATAATATTTCCAATTTATTTTGTTGCTGAAGTCGAAATTACTGACCGAACTTTTCAAATAAACTTCTAATATCACTGGACATCAGGAGTACTGCAGAAACCATTAGCAATCCAATTTCATGAAGAAGAAATTCCTTTGGATATTCTAACTGATGGGACCAGTATACTTGTTGCAAGGAAGTGAACAAATGAAAGCAACCCTGGAACAGAAAGCACCATGTAGGTAGTGTTATATAAAGCTGAGTGTGCCACTTGGCTTGTGCTATAGCAGCTGTTACTCAAAACCATATGGGAATTTCTGAAGATAACTTTTATTCTGAATTTCCTAATCTGACTTAGCAGAGATGAATGCATAGTAATGAGCATGTAAACTCTTGATGAAATTTCAAGAAGAAGGAGTTTCAACATTCTGAAAGCAAAGTCTTAAGGCCTTTGCATATTGGGTATCTCTTAACTTACATACTTACGACAAATCAAATAAATGTTTCATTTAGTGGGACCAGACAGCTAACACATCACAGACTAAAACACCAGCTGCCAATTTGTTTGTTGGTGTTTGGCTTTAAGTTACTGCACGCACTGGGAGGCAAAGAATAAACTTTTAAATTATGTCAAATTTATTATTTCACAATTTGAATTTTAGTCAAGTTCACATTGAGTGGTGCAACAACCTGAGGCAAATCCTTGTGCTGTTCTCTTAGGAAATATTTTCCTACATGTACTTATTCCACTACTTTGATATGAAAGATGGATAGTCGTGTTTTAAAAAATCCACCGCTCCTTGAGTTCAAAACATCAGTGCCAGAATAGCTGATCGTGATTTGCTTTGATGATAGCTTCATGTTTTTTCTGTTGATATCTATTTCCAGCAACTATTCCAGCTGTGCAGGCAGTACATTGTAGCTATTCTTACACATTCCACAGTTGTGTCCAATGACATAAAAGGCCAAGATTCATCATTATTGATTTGTAATGCCATAGTCCAAAGATACAATGGCATAGTCTATGATAACATCACATCTGAAGAAATCTCAGTATAATTTTTGTGTTCAAGACAAAATAAATATATTCTACTTGAACAGAATTTTTAAGTGTTATGCAAGGGACAGACTGGATGTGGTGCATACTAAGCCAATAATTTCAACTGACTCTAAATCCCTTTTTTATCAGACCTTAGCACTGAAAGTTTAAGCTATCTGTTAAGCTGTTATTTGTACTCAGAGGTAGTTTAGATATGGGGGAATAATACATTCTCATTTAAAAATAATTGAAGTGCCTTTTGCATGGCTTATGTAAAAATTAACTTGCTGGTATATAATAACATTTAAAGTTATTTAATTAAAAAAAAATTACAGTGTCTGATAATAGTAACTATGGAACTGCTTGCACAAGTGTTGTTTATAGTATGTTTCTAGTGGGCCCACTGATAGTGAAAACAGGATATCCACAAAAGGGATTCTGTTAATCAGGAATAAACTGATTTGTTGAACTGCACTGTTGGGTAAACCATGCAAGAAAGAAAGTCTGACTTGAGTATCCAGTTTAGAAAACATCAAAAGGGCTGTTGTACCCAAAAAGGGATTATTTTTAAAAACTATTATTCTCTGCACATCATATATTTAAATTCCTTTTAAAACATGACAATTAATTCAGGAAAGAAATTAATTGATAATTGGAATATTAACAGCCTCAGTTCTAAATAAAAATAATAAACCAGATTAATGGGATTTATTTCAGGACAAAGAGATCTTAATTTCTTCCTGCCCAAGAGTTAAGAATTATGGTGAATCTGTGGCTGAGGCCTTTGTAGGACAAAACCAACTTGGTGGTTTGTTGTTTTTCTGGTTTTGGTTTGCTTGCTTCTTTTTATTTTATTTTTTTTTTAGGTTCAGTCACCGTTTTTAGTTTCTTCAGGAATGAAAGCTAAGTCATCAATATTAATTTGCTTTTTCTCTCTGTCTGGGAAACATGCAAAGCTCAGTCCTTTCACTTGTAAACATTAAAATAATGATAGAAGTCCTACACTGTAATATTCCTGTAAACAAAAATCCATAAATCCAGTGTTGCCTGCTGAAATGGGATCTGGTAATATGATTCAAGGGAGTTCAATCAGCACATTTTAGGTTTTATTTATCCTATATTATAATATGCAGACCAAGACTGAGTACAATTTCTCATTGTAGAATAGACACAATGCCTATTTTTCAGATTTTAGAATGTACTGAATATGTAATTTTATATTTTCTCTCTAGCAGCATTTTCAACAAGATACTAGACCACTTCCAGTTCTAGCTCCTGATTTTCCTCCTGTTAGCTCTCTGGTTTCAATCTCAGTTCTGTCTCAGGAGTTAAACTGGTCTCTCCAAATATGAAAAGTCTTTCTATTGGAAGGGCTACTTAATGCTTTTTTATTCTGAAAACAAAAGAATGGCACTAAATGAAAGTGTATATTTGATTCCAACATTGCACAGAGCAGATGAGAAGTGAGACAAGTGATCAATGCTCAAACTTACATACTCTGCTTTGTGAGGATAGTGGGATGGATCTGTGTGGACTTACACAGTTAGTGTAAATTACAGCTGATCTGACCTGCAGTCACTTTCATGCCTGTCTGTGCTTTGTGGTACTGAGAAGGAACTGCTCAACTGTTGTAAGCCCTTGACCTTTCACTTGTCTAAAGTGGTAAGTGTGAAATTTGTGACCAGCTATACTTTGGTGCAATTTCAGAGCACATCAAGATGATGGCAGGAGATGGATGAATTGAACTGGATAGTGTAAGAGCCAGCATTACAGACTGAAATTTTGAAATAAGATCCTTAGAAAGAGATTTATCTTTATTTTACATAGCATCAATATTGTTTAATGTTTGCTATTGTAATAAAACTATACCTATAACAAGGATTTCAATTCCACATGTTTATATTTTACTCTAAAAGGAGAATTTAATGAAAATAAACTCGCCAAATGAAACCATCTTATCCTTTCTACAATCTGCTCTGTGGTCAGCAAATTAAAATGGGTAGGAACTTGTGAATGAGAGCTCAGCTTTATATATTTACAAAGATGTAAATGTCTGTGACTTAATGTCTCTGTCTATGACTTTACATTATAAAAACAAATTACCATCATCTCAAAGTAAGCCAATACTAGAAAA